CCAGTGCCACCAGACATACAATCCACTCCAAGGGTTCAAGGGTGGTTTCAAGCGTCAGGGTCACAGCAACCTGTGTTGCTTGGGTTGGAGCCACTTTCTCCTCCGCTGGAGGTGCATGGCTAGTCCTCATGGTCAGTGGACATCTACTCCAATCTAAGGGAGAAGGGGAAAGCCGCGTCCGAGGTTCAAGGCGCTGGCTGATTTCATCCTGGTTCTAGGTGGTAGAACCAACTCAGTTCAAGGCAGATCTAGTCCTTCATTTTCAGTGGGTATTGCCTGCCAGAGATCCCTGGTCACAGAATCATGGGTTTGAGGGTGGGGTGAGGGGAGCCACTACCTCCCCAGTGGTTGAAGGAAGGTAGGTGCTCGGTTTCAAGGAGCAGAGCTGCAACAAGCTTGGTTCTAGAAGGAAGGGCTACTGTCTCTATGACTGGCTCATAGAGACCCTACGGGACAGAGTAGAACTGCCGCTGTGAGCTTCTGAAACGTTAACTCTTTATGGCAGTAGAAAGTCCCCTTTATCCCCAGGGAAGTGGCAGGTGGTTTTGAACTGCCAATCTTCTGGGTTGAAGCCAAATGCGCAACCAGGGCTCCTTTCTTCGATTGACAGTTGGGTGATTCCTCTTCGTAGAGATTAAAGAATGCTCACTCCACCACTCCACTCAAAGGGTCAGTGTCAGAGGAAGTCAGCCTTTAACAACCGAAGGGTCAAGAGGTGCAATTGTATGGTTACACTATACAAAGATCATAGTAAAGTCATAGAGAATAGGAAAGATAGGAGAGGGAATAAAATACAGGCGTCAGACACATTTTACGGTAGCAAGCTCACCTCAGTCCCTCTTGATGGTCCATATAGAGATGAGAGAAGAGAGGGCATCTTTTCTGTCTTGGGATATTTATAGGTAGCCATAAGACATGCATATTCAGTAGTTACATATGTCACAAGGTGGGTGGAATCTACAGTAAGGTCCTTGAGCTCACAGGTGAGGAAACCTAGTACCTGCATTGGGGGAGGGGATGAGGGGGGCTGGGTAACACAGTAGAAGAGATAGCAACAGGATGTCTGCTTCTATATATAGAGAAAATCAACCACGTGCTCACTTAAAGGCAGCATAGCTGTTAGGGGAGAATTTTGGGGAATGCTATTCAAAGCAGGATAATGCACTTGGACTTTAACTTACCAAAGTGGTGGCTTTCGGTGGACCAGGGTAGAAATGCCCCAGTGAGTTGCTGAGAATGAAAGTCTTTACTGGAGTAGAAAACCTTGTCTTTCTCTCGAGGAGCAGCTGGTGGTTTTGAAGTGCTGACCTTGAGGTTAGTGGCCTCCTCAGCTCAGGTGTGGGGCTCTTTCTCGCTTGTAAGAGGTGGAGCTACAGCTGCTTCAGTAAGGGAAGGCTCACTCACTGCCATGGAGTTGATGCCAACTCATAGCGACCCTATGCGACGCGGTAGAACGGTCCCATGGATTTCAGAGACTGTAACCTTTTAATGGAGTAGGAAGCTCCGTCTTTCTCCAGGGCCACCATTTCACAGGTCAGGGGCTGGGACTTTCAGATTCTAGAGGCAGAGCCAGTGCCCCCTAGGTTCCCTCGGGCAGGAAGTACTGAAGACAGGAGGCTATTCCTGTTTCCATGGGCACAGGGCCACTGACTCCACTCAAAGGGAGCAGCAGTCTCCTAGGATGACGTCCAGGGTCATCACCACTAATGTTCTACGCCGCAGGGGCTAGTCCTCGGTTTCAGGAGGCAGCACCACAGCCAGCTGGCTTCCAGGGACACGACTGTGTTCTCCCAAGAGGGGGCGCATTCCTCACTTTCTGGGGACACGGGAGGCCTAGTCCACTCAAAGGAAACACCATTTTCCTAGATGAGAGGTCCGCGCGCCACTGCCACCATTGGTTCGGGGAGCAGGACCCCACTTCCCTGAGTTGCAGGGTTGGGTGATTCCGGCATGCAAAAGGAACCTCCTCAGTCCTTTAGACTGAGGGAGGGGGCTGCCACCAGCTCAGCTCAAGAGCCTGAACTATTCCTCAGTCTTACGGGCTCGACTCCAACCAGCAGGTTCCAGAGAGCATGGACATGGCTGGCGTGGCTGGAAGGGGAGGGAGGAGGGCATTGCTCCCGTTCAGGGAAGGAGGCACACCTCCACTCAAAGGGAACGGCAGTCTCTTAGGCTCAGTGGGCAGGGGGCTCTCCCCCTTGCTTCTATGGGGTGGAGCTGCCGTCTCCATTCAGGGACAGTTCACCACCTCAATTCAGACCTCGAAGGCACCTAGCTTTCGGGAGGCAGAGGCACGATCTCTTCATTTGAAAATTCAAAAACTCAAAGTCACTGCCAGGGAGTCCATACCGGCTCGTAGCCACCCTAAAAGACGGGGCAGAATTGCCTTGGTGAGTTTCTGAAACTGTTTTTAAAAAGCCACAGCTTGCTCCTGCCTCTCTTTAAGGGCCTTTGCTATTCTTCGCAGTTCCACGGCACATAGCCACTGTTCTCAGAGGAAGGGATGGGGCCACTCCTAAGCCTCAGAGCATGGAAACACCTACTTCACACAAAGCAAACAGCAGTCTTCCAGGTTCAAGGGGCAGGGCCACCACTGTCTAGTTCAGAGGGCAGTGCTGTTCCAGGGTGTCAGGAGATGGTGCCACTGCCACCTTGGTTCCAGAGGTCAGCACTACTGTTCTTTCCATTCAAGTGTCAAGGACACTGACATCTTGGTCATCCCAATGGGAAAAGCAGTCTTCTAGGTTCAAGGCATGGGTCATGGCCATCAGGGTTCCAGGAGTTAGGATCGCCAACTCCGTTGTTATTCCCTCCACTTCAGGTGAAACAAATTCCCTGCCATCAAGTGGATGCAAATTCATAGTGACCCTGTCAGACTGGGTTGAACTGCCCCGGTGAGTTTGTGAGACTGTTTACCGGAGTTAAAACAAAACAAAATACAACACCTTTTTCTCCTGCAGAGTGCCTGGTGGTTTTGAACTACTGACCTGGTAGATCACAGCCCAACGCTTTACCACCCACCAGGGCTCCTCAACGAGAGCAGTAGGCTGCTAAATTCAATAGGTGACGTCACCTCCACCAGGGTTTGAGCGGGTGGGACTGCCCATCTCTTTCATTCAGGAGCTGGGCAATTCCTTTAGGCGGGGCCATAGTCACTTCCGGAGGACGGAACCACTATCTCAATTCAAGGGGTGATGTTAAGCCTCAATTTCAGTGTATAGACAACAAAACAAAACAAACTCACTGCCTAAGAGACTGTAATTCTTCACAGGAGCCAAAGGTCACATGTGTCCCACAGGGAGCAACATGTAACCACTACCCAGCCTAGGACTCCTCTCAGGATAGTCCACTCAACAGGAGCTGCTGTCTCCTAGGTCCAAGGGATGAGGCTACACCTAGGCTTCTTGGAGTACGGCTATAGCCAGCTAGGTTCCACTGGGCAGAGCCACCGCCTCCTCAGCTGAACCTCAAACTTCAAACTCACTGCCTTCGAGGATTCCAATTCATAGTGATCGGTTCAAAGTAGACCTGCTTCTGTGGATTTCCAAGACTGTAAATCTTGGCGGAAGGAGACAGTCTCATTTTCTCTTGGACAGGCGGTGGTTTTGTACTGCTGATCTTGCAGTCAGCAACCTAATACGGCTATTCCTCAGGTTCAGGGGATGAGGTACACCTAGGCTCAAGGAGCGAGGCCAGCACTGACGGGATCCTTGGGCCAGGATCGCCATCTCCTGGGTTCAAGATCAAACTCTTTCATCGTTTCAAGGGATGCGGCCAGTCAGCTAATTCCAGGGAGTGAAGCCACCCTGCCCTCCTGTAAAAGGATAAGGCAGTACCTTAAGGGGGCTGGGTTTTAACAGTACAGCCTCCGTTCAAGGGGCGGGATGACCTCTCAGTTTCAGGAGGCGAGGCCACAACCAACCAGGTTCCTGAGGGGGCACCTTCTGTCCAGCTGGAGGCAAGGGATAAGCTCGCCTTTTCAGAAGGCAGGAGGACGCCCATTTGCTGTCTTAGACGGTCAGCCTCCAGACCCGAGAAAGAAATTTCTGCTTTTACATGCCACCCAGTTTGTGGCCTGTTGTTAAGACATCTTGCAAATGCTAAAGGATTGTCCATTGATTTGATCCTTCGGTATCCGACGGCTCAGATGAGTGTGCAATGGCCGCACTCTACCGGGTCTCTTATGCCGCCCTGATATGCCGTGTGGGGAAGATTCCATGGCCCAAATCACGAGCCTCATCAGGGGTGAACCACACTGATGTGATCTACAAGCACATGGCGAGCTGGGATGAGGGCCCACTTCTCTCTCCCCCACATCCACCCCACCCCTACCTAAAGTATGTGGGCCCAAATGAGCAACCTCAAAAGCCAAACACAATGCCGACTCCTAGAACTGGCCCTGTGAGTTTCCAAACTGTACCTCTTTACGAGAATAGCAAGCCCTGTCTTTCTCCCATGGTGCGGCTGGCAGTTTCAAACTGGTGATCTTTTGGCTCACAGCTCAACTCATAACCACACCACCACCAGAGCCAGAGCTGGGCTCTTATGAGCAAACGGGACAAGGCGCGGTAGTTGAGGACCTAGCAGTGGGTGGCAGAGGTGGGAGGCACAGGTAAAAGGGGTTGCTGGGGAACAAGGAAGCCACGAACAAAAGAGGGACTGTCATTTTCAAATGACATGCCTCATCTAGGATTCCCGTCCCGCCCCACCCCATCATCAGTTGGGCTCGACACAAGTCAAGCCATTATTTTGAAGGGATGTGAAACTTTAGGAAATAGGATCCAAGTTGTTGGGGATTTGGGGGTTGGGTTTGGGCTTGACTGGCTTGCTGTAGCATTGTTTGTTTTCAGTGGCTTCTAGTTCCCCTTGGGGCCACACAATTACTCTGAATTGAGTCTGCCCTGGAAGTACTGAAAGATGCCATTCAGGTTTCTAGATCAGTAGCGTCACCTTCAGAGCACTTCCCCAGGGCAGTATGAAATAAAAGACAGGAGGCAAAGTTATTGATATGCTGCTTTTAATTCGGCCAAGATACACTGAAACATTAGAGAATACCTAATGACAAAATGTAGAAATGAGGCAGCAGCTTCTAGAACCACTCCTACAAGAAGGTTAATATGTACTGTCATTACATGTTGACCTATGGTAGTGTCTCAAAGTATGCAATAGAATAATGTAGAATACAGTAAGGAGGTGAGCCTGCATTTCTTGTAAGCAGCAGGTGGAAATCCGGTTCTGCCCGTGAGAATGAGAGCCTCCCACAACCCCAGATATCCAGTTGAGCTCTTGAGGAAAAGTCCTGGGAGTCACAAGAGAAGGGACTTGGTAGCTATCCCTAACACGGGGACAAAGAGCAGACAACCACTATGTTACAAGTTTCAACTTGCCGTCACTTTGAACTGCCCCGTCTGCGTCGAGAAGGGTACTTTGGCGCCTGCTCAGCGATCCCTCTAGAGCGTTACTGCTGGGAGATGAATTTCAAAACTGCAGGAAGGTCGGAAGGGGGCTAAAATGTCTTCATGCAAGTTTCAAAACTCAAACTATGTCATTATTTATGAAAACAACAGAGTATTAATTAAACATTAAAGAAACTACGAGGGACAGTGGGGTTAGTTTGGTTAAGCTTCCCCAAGCCGCCGCAGTGCCCTGCTCCTTTCTTACAGGCTCGTTGGCTTGGCTCTGCTGATGCTTTTCAAGCCACCTGCCCGGCCCAGGCTCGAAGGGAGGAACACTCAGAAAAGAGACTGCATAGGGAGATCAACGGTTAGTACAGAGGCAGGTCACTTTAGACAGAATTACAGCTACGATGGTCAAATGTTAATTTTTCCTGGAAATCCGTGTTAGTTGTTTGAAAGCACAAAGCAGAGAAGGCAGGCCACAGTTGGGGTGAGGGAGTTCGACCATGCAACATGGGAAATTCTTTGTCTGCTCACGGAGCTGGAGCGAGCAGCCCGAGTTGAAGCAGCCGCTGCAACTCTCTTGCATGTTGTGTGACTGCATGGTGGGTCCCAGCGGAGCCGTGACAGCCAGCTCAGTGGGGAAGGGTTAGCGCTTAGGCTTCTTGCTTACATCACTAAGTGGCTAAAGGTTCAGTACTTTTCTGCTCTATGGTAAACATGCAGAAGAGTCAGTCTATCTAAGGTTGCAGGTTTTCATTGCAGCTACAGAGAAGTGAAGTTCGCTGCAGAGTTGCTTTTTGCTAAATCCTAGGATGATCACTGTGTGCCCTTTAGGTGAGTAACACTGTAAAATGGGAGGCAAAAATAAAGAGCGCGACAACGTGGAGTAGGTGAAACACCGCTCTTTCCCTACTGATGGCACAGGGGAAGGGGAGGGCACCAAGAATGCGGTTCAATTTCCATTTTACAGGACAGGGGAGCCCCTGGCATTTACAGCTTTTTGGCACAGTCGGGGCAATACACTTGCTCCCCATGGAACACAAAACGCTTGTTGGCCAGATTCACGGAGCATTTTTTGCAGTGGAAGCAGTAGTCGTGCCAGGATTGTCCTTCATAGGCCACCACACTGGAGCCTTTACCAAACCCTGTTTGAAAACAAAAAAAGAGAAGAGAAGAGACCGCCCAGTGAATACAGGTGAGGCAGCTGCGATTCCAGAGAGATGCAATGACGGCTTGCCCCAACACAGAGCCCACAAGCACGCCAAGCCAGTGCCACCAGGCTCCCGGCCACCCCTCCCTCCACCCTCGCCGCGCACGCTACCCCACGCCACTGCTCCCCTCCTCTGGCGCTCAATGTCCAGTACTGTCCCTCACTGTCCAGGTGCCGGAGCTAGCCAAGGGCTCCCCTGAGTTAAGCCCCCACATTCCCACATCACTGCTAACGTGCTGTGCCACGCACCAACCTCCCAGCATAACCAGTGTCTTTGATTTAGGTCAGGGCCATGGCATCAAAGTGGCCACCAGGAGGCAAACTTGGGCTGTTTGTGGGATGTGCACTTACCAGGCCTCGAGGAGCTGCTAAGCTTCGATTTTTTCTATAAAGAACAACCACCCACGAGGGACAAGTCCTCTCTCCACCCGGATGCCTGCCCCGGATGTTGGCGCTGGGAAACAGGGTGAGAGGCAAGCGTTTCCCGTGGCACACTGGGGGCTTCCTAGCTTTAGAGACTGGGTGGCTCACTCTTGACACAGTCCTTTTCCCTGAGGATGGCAAAAGTCTTCTCAAATGTACATTTCAAGGCTCCCCGGGGGAGATGGGAACATTGGAAGCAGGGGAGGGGCCCAGGGCACTTGGATCGCGGCTGCAAGATGAGGAATGACGTGAGTAGCTGCACTCTGGATTGCAAACCGCTGCTAACAGGCAACTCTGAACCCTACCCTTCATCTACAGGGCATTAGCATCCCAGGCTCGGCTCCCTTGCTCAAGCCTCCCCATCCCCACCACTTTCTCCCCTGCTACCTCTTCCACCCCCACCATCCCTCCACCCCCACTCCCCGCCTCCTCCCCCACCCCCAGCCCCTAGCAGCGCCTGCCTGTGGCCCAGCAGGTCCCAGGCATGTGAACTCTGGCAGCATTGGTCAGCAGTGGTCAGGAAGTGTTCTGTATTGCAAAGGCTAGCCTGGCCTGGGAGAGAATCCAAACTATTGGGAGGCCTTTTGGACCACAGTGGCAAGGGACGAAGGGCATTCTTTGGGGGCTTTGTGGATGATACCGACGACAGGAAAATGAGAGATGGTTACCATGCGCAAAAACCTAGCCTGGCAGACTTAGCAAGGACTCTTTAGCCTACCAGTGATGGGGTTCTTGCATCCAGCACACTTCTTGGCCACAAAGTTCTTGTAGCAATCCACGCAGTAATACTGGTCCTCCACAGCGGTGAAACGCTGCCCAGCCAGCTTCTTAGAGCAGGTAACACACACAAAGCAATCGGCATGCCAGGGCTGATCCTGGTAAGTGATTCCTCCAGATGTGATGGCCTAGACCAGGGAGTGTAGCACCGGATTCAGATTCAACCACCCTTTTGCTGAATGCCTACTACGTGCCAGGCACTGTGCTGGGCGCTTGGGTAGACAGTATCTCATTGAATCGCCACAGCAACCATGGGAGGCAGGCGCAGTTATTATCCCCAATTTACAGATGAAGACCCTGAGGCTCAGAGGAGGCCAGAGCCCCTCTCCGAGGTAACGGAGCAACCCTGAGTGGTGGAGGTAGGCCTCTTAAGCCGGGGCAGCCTGACCCCGAGGGAAGTGCGAGCGCCCCCCGCCACAGCCGATACACAGGCCCCCCAAAGCGGGTGCCCACACAACAGCTGGGTGTGGCCACAGCACTACGTTCTCTACCAGTTTCCTCATCTGACAAGTGAGAATAATAATCCCTACATCACAGGGCTGTTGTGAGGATGGAATGGGATAGTGTGTGTGCAAGTGCTCTGCAAACCGTCCAACACTTGAGCGGAGGGGAGTGCTGCCGTGGCAACGTACCTTATTGCATTTCACGCAATGCTTGGCGAATTTGGCCTCATGGCAAGTCACGCAGTAGAAGTCCTCCCCTTTAGGGAAGAAGCTTCCAGTCCCGATGACTTGGTTGCAGTGGCTACAGGTGAAGCATTCTTTGTGCCAGACGTTCCCCTTGTACTCCACGTTTTGATCTCCTGTGGGGGAAGCAATTGGATAGCCCCACTGACAGAGCTCTGCTTCCACTCAGCTCCCCAGCCAGGACCCGTCCCTGCTCCTCCCTACCCCCAGGTGAGGGAATGCAGTTCCCTGCAGTCCCAGGCCTCGAAGCTTCCAGCTCACCTGCCCATGGGGCCCTGTCTCTAATGTCGGCCTCCTGGCTGTCGCCACCCCAGAGACCTCCGCTTTATGTTTTCAGGATTTGATGCCTAAATTCCCCACTCCCTCTACCCCTCCCCCCACATCAGACTGTGTTGGCCTTTCTGTTTCAATAGGGGAAACAATGCTAGAACCTTTAGCAGAAGGCACCCTAAGGAAGAAGCATGCCCCCCGTCACTTACTATACCCAAAGGAGAAAGTGCTACCTACTTTTCACTTCATGCTCTTGTCACAGTTCTCTCCAGTGTTCTTTAGTTTCCGAGTGTGTGCGTGTGTGCGAGCATATATGTGTACGTATATATACATGTATATATATATGTGTACATATATATGCTAAGGTCTAAAAGCAGCTAACAGCAACATTAGCCCCACCACCGCAAGCAAACCCACATCATCTCTGCCCTTGGGGCCTCCTCCCTGTAGACCAGAAGGGGTCGGGGGGAGGGGGTTGGGAGAGGAGTGGCCTCCAGGGGCCTGTGACCTAGCGGGGGTGGGGGATGGGGAGTGTGTGCAGTACCTGCCACAATCTGCTTGTAGCACCCTTTGCACCTGGGAGACTCCTCCCGAGTGGTGCACTTGTTGCACAGGATCTTGCTGTCCTTGGCCACAAAGGTCTCATTGGCCAAAGGGCGAAGGCACTTGGCGCAGTGGAAACAAGTTTCATGCCAGTAGCGGTTCTTGTAATGCAGTTCCTAAGAGCCAAGCAAAATCGCACAAGCCACCATAAGTCCGTCCCTCGGGTCACTGTGGGGCAGCGGCAGCACCCTTCCCTTTCAGGCAGAGGGCCCCAGTGCTGACTCCTGAGGCTGCGAGTCCTTGACACTTGCCCAGGCCCCCAAGGGGACTGTTCTTGGGAGGGAGCCCAGGGGTACTTGAGTAAGGACGGAGGACTCAGAATTCCATCCCAACTGCTGACAGGCCTCGAGACTGAGCCGAGGTGCAGGACAGGGCCCCTTCAAGGCTAGCCAGTCGGTGACACATCTGGGACCTGTTCCTGGGCCAAGGTTTGTTACCGCATTGCTGAGCCTACACACACACACACACCCACCCCCCCACCCCCCATCTGCCTGTCACTACAGGTCCTACCTTCCACTCAGGTGGCTTACAGTGATGCGGAGAAGCAAGACACAGGATGCTGTGAGGAGGGTATGGGTACACTACACTTAAATGCCTCGTGCCTATCTTCTTGCGACACGGGAGAGGCTGTTACCTTGGCATCCGCACTAATGGGCTTGCGGCATTCCACACAGGTGTTGGCGCAGAACTTGTCAAAGCACTTTAGGCAGCAGTGGTGCCCATCCTTCTGTATATACTTCTTGCCCTGCAGGGAGTCCCGGCAGTAGTGACAATCCATCTTCTCAGACATGGTGCCGACTTTGTAGCTGGAGGGACCTGTGAAGGCAAGTCAGCAGAACCAATGACCAAAGGCAACCAACACCGAGGGGAGGGCGGCTCTGTGTGTGTCCGAGGAAAGCAGTCTGCAGCCAGCGTGCCAGAGCTTCCCCTGAGCCTGGCTGGTCCCCATGTACCAAGTTGACAGACATTATCAATCCCACTCCTGAGGAGATGATACTCTCCCCCCAGAGTCTGGTTTCCCACCACCGGTCAGAAGACTGTGAGCCTTTGGGGTGAGAGAAGCCCCTGCTTGCCAACTCACCAAAGACATGAAGGGTGGGGGTGAAGGGGACGGGGCCAGAGGACTGAATGGGGCTTCTGGAAAGTGCTGGTGTTTTGAGCAGAGCTGCCGCTGCCT